CCTCGAGGTCTCTGCCCGATGTTGATGCAGCTGTCGATGTTGACGCACATGCATTAGGACCGTGGCGACGACTTTGTGCAGCAGCTGCTCTGGGGCCCGCTGCCCACCGCGGACGACGCCTCGGACGCGCCGCCGACGTGCTTGGCCGAGCGCCTCATTGACGCGACCATGGGTCTTCTCTTCCTTCCCGATTTTACCGTCTCGGCGCCGGCGTACAAGGCGTACCGCGAGCAGCTCTCGACGAGCGGCAGTGGCGCCAAAGTCTACCCATCGCTCTTGTGGTACTCGGGCGTTGGCTTTCCGGACGCGTCGGCCACGCACGCCGTCTTGTACGACAAGAACCGCAAGGAGGTGCTCAAGCTCCTCCTCACGTGCTTCTCGGGCATCCTGTACCACACGGCCGGTACTGCCGCAATACCTTCTTCCTCGCCTAATTGTCTAATGTATGGTAGACTCGTGCGACCAGTCGACCGACCCGTTCCTGGCCTACGCGACGCGCGAGGGGTCGGCATTCTCGCCGACGCTCTTCTACTCGCTCCTCAACGTCACGCTGCTCTACGACCCGGTCGGGTGGGGCGTGCCATACGCCGGCTCGATCGTCGCCGACGAGCGCGAGACGCTGGTGGACATTTCTGTTCAAGTACACGACGTCCTCTCGGTGCATTGCTGCATGATGGCGTAGGTACTTCTCGTGCTACTGGACTTTGGCAAGCCGGCCATCGAGTCAGACGGCGTCGTGACGGTATATTTGCGGTAAATTTCCATGCCAATTCCTTACACCTTGTGGCGGGATAGTGCAGCAACAAGTACCGTGAGCTGCTCTCGAGCGTCCAGCGCGAGTATGCGATTCATCTCGTGTTTGGCGTGTCTCATCGTATGGCGTGTAGAGAGGACTTTGATTTGATCTTCTACGGGCTCGCCAAGCTCCTAAACAACTACCACCAGAGCATGAACACGATCTTGCCCAACTCGATCAAGCAGATCAAGTGCCACCAAGAGCTGCTCGTGCTCCTCTGGAAGATGCTCGATGAGAACAAGAAGTTTCTCCAGTTTACGCTCAAGCGTGCAGATACGAACAAGATTGTCGTGCCCCTGCTGTACCTCATGTACGAGGGCCGGAAGGAGCCGTCCAAGGTACGGTCTGTCACTGTCAAATCTGCACCGAAGGACGCTTGTAGGTGGGCATGATTCACATTTGCACGTTCATTCTGCTCTTGCTGAGCGGCGAGCGCGACTTTGCCGTGAACCTCAACAAGCCGTTCGATCTCAAGCTGCCGCTGGACTTGCCGCCGTTCAACGGCAACCACGCCGACCTCCTCGTCGTGTGTTTGCACAAGGTCATTGTCAACGGCTTTGAGAAGCTCAACTCGGTCTACAACTGCTTTCTCACCATCATCTCCAACATCTCGCCCTACATCAAAAAGCTCAACATGGTACAGCGTGCGCTGGTTTGTATCCAGCTGATACATTGATACTCATTAGGTGTCGAGCGTGCGTCTCCTGCGCCTCTTCAAGCTCTTTTCGCAGCCGCGGTATTTATTCGACAACGAAGCCAACCACCACCTCGTCTTCTTCCTCCTCGATACGTTCAACAACATTATCCAGTACCAGTACGAAGGTACCATTCGACGCATATTTACCATAGTTTGCGACATGATTGATATCTTGATACTAGGCAACGAGCAAATGGTGTACGCCATGGTGCAGAACAAGGACCTCTTCCACAAGCTCAACGCGCTCACAATGCCCATGACGCAGGCCACGCCACGCAGCAGCAGCACGGCGTCAGTCGCTGACGACGACGCCGAGAGCGTCCCGTCGGTCGTACCGCTCGTCGCGCTCACCGACACTGCGGCGTCCGAGGACGCGACCGCCGACGAACCGTCGTCAACCAAGTCGGCGGCCGCACCCGTGCCGGCGCCGGTGGTCGGTGGCCGCTTTGTGCCCAACGAAGCATGGATCCAGAGCTGGAAGAAGAAGCTGCCGCTCAACACGTCGCTGCGACTGCTGCAGTACCTCGTGCCGCAGCTTGAAGACGCGTGCGAGCTCGCGGGCGGGAGCTTGGACGAGACCTCGATGCTCACGTTCCTTCGCAGCACGACCATGGTCGGGCTTCTTCCCGTGCCGCATGCGATCGTGATCCGCAAGTACCAGACCAACCAGTTTACGAATCTCTGGTTCACAACGTTTACGTGGGGCGTCATTTTCCTTCGCAACCAAGGTACACACTCTCGTCTTACATTTTGACGTCTAAGTGGCGTGTTTGTAGCGTTTCCCCTCTTTGACGGCGCGTCCATCACGCTCTTTACGATCAACGTCCTGTAATCGCAGCAGGAGACGACGAGGATAATGCCATGCATGTGCTACTGCTTCGTTAGCTTTGGAAAATACTCGTCCTAGATTAGTCTGCGTCATGTAGCAGCCGCAAGCGTTGTGCACTGTTTCCCAAGCGAGACGGGGAGCAGACGCAGTTGCCACAACGTACATACTCCACGGCGATAGTACCACAGCGGTATTCCCGAGCCTGGTGAATCCACGGTGAATCCAAGCAGTCTTGACGTGCGTCGCTGGCGTCGACAAGGAATGCACCAATCAAACTTGCCCATCATCCGGATACTATCCGGATGATCGACCGGACAGGCGGTGTCCAACACCAACACGTCCAT